CGCCAGGCCTTGGTGCCGTTTCTCTCTTTTGAGTGAGATGGACACCAGGCTTGGTAAATAAAGCCTTTGGAACGAAAACCTTTTGTCTCAGTTTCTGTAAACGAGTGGTGACTCCAACAATCTCTAGTTTTATGCTTATATATTTTCCTTTGGTCCAGAACTTGCTTTGGATTGCACTTCTGGTAAGTTAATCTTTGTTTTGGTCCAGATGCTCCTTTTGTGAAATTCTACCTGGAAAGTCTGTCCCGGCATTTCAAACACCCCCTACCTATCACCCATCCATCCCCCACTTCCACCACCACCATTTCAGCGCCAAAAGAAGAGATTCTTGAAGTTGGGGCCCTGCTTGCACATATAGCTCCTCTCTGTCCATATAAAACTGCACACACACAAGGGCCGGCCGAGTGGCTCAGTTGATGAACAGCTCACTCAAGAGTGTGAGCTATGAGCAATAAGGTCACCATTTCGATTCATGGCCCAAGCTGAGCTGCTGCTGAGCTGCTAACAGGTGGCAGGATGGCTCAGCTAAAAAAACAAAAAACACAAAAAAACAACTGCACACACATAATGATGATGATGATGATATCACGATAAGGACCATTTTCAGTAATTATGTCAACTATTTTACATGTGTTATCACATTTGAACCTCACAATAAGCTAGTGAGGTGTTACTATCTCCATTTTACTGATGAAGAATTAGGCTCAGCGATGTTAAACAACTTGCATAGTTAGTAAGTGGTTGAGTTGAATTTTGAGCCTAAACTCAAAGGCCCACATTCTCCATGTACAGATACTGTAATTAACACAGTACAAGGAGATTCTAAGCTAATACAAGGTAAGGCAAAGTAAAGTTAAAGACTATGCCAGGTTGGGCCATGCTAGCACAGGTTCTCCTAAGCACTAAACTGCACAATCCAGTGCAATATAACACAACACTGTGCCATACTGCATAACGCTGGTCACTGTGAGGCTATGGAAATCTGTCAAGGTAAAGCGAACCCTGCTTCCTTTCTTCCTTTCATCCCTCCTTCCTTCTGTCTTATAGAGGAAGTTCCCTTTTGTTTCATGTGTGTCCTCCTGATGTTAATTAATTTAATTTATTAAGAAATGATACTGTGTTAAAATTCTAGTACATTTTATTTTTTAAATAATTTCTTAATTTTTCAATTTCAGGTGACATACAATATTAAATTAGTTTCAGGCGTACAACATGGTGATTAGATTTTTATAGAACTTATGTAGTGATCACCCTGATAAATCTAGTACCCACCTGGCACCACACATAACAAAAATGTTATTGACTATATTTCTTATGCTGTACTTTACATCCCCATGACTATTTTGTAACTATCAACTTGTACTGCTTAATCCCTTCCCCCTGTTTACACCCCCACCCCTTCCTCCCAATCAGCAACCATCAAAATAGTTTCTGTATCTATGAGTCCTTTTATATTTTGTTTGTTCATTTATTTTGTTCTTTAGATTCCACATGTAAGTGAAATCATTTGGCATTAGTCTTTCTCTGTCTGACTGACTTACTCCACTCAGCACAATACCCTGTAGGTCCATCCATGTTGTTGCAAATGGCAAGATTTCATTCATTTTATGTCTGAGTACAGATGCACCACATCTTCTTTAGCTATTCATTCATTGATGGACACTCAGGTTGCCTCCACATCTTGACTATTGTAAATAATGCTGCAATGAACATATGGATGCACATACATGTCCCTTCAAAGTAGTGTTTTGGGTTTCTTTGGATAAATACCCAGAAGTAGGATTACTGGGTACTTCTTTGTCTCTTGTTATTGTCTTTGTTTTAAGGTCTATTTTGTCTGGTATAAGTATTGCTACTCCAGTTTTTCTTTGTTTGTTTGTTTCCATTTTCATGAAATATCTTTTTCCACCCCTTTACTTTCAGTCTGTGTGTGTCTTTTAAAACAAAAATAGTTTCAGGTGTACAAAACAACATAATAATTAGATATTTACACCGCCCACAAAGTGATAACCCCAACAAGTCTACTACTCATCTAACACCGTACATAGCTATTCCAACACCATTGACTGTATTCCCTATGCTATACTTTACATCCTGTGTGGGGGGANCTGTTTTGCGATTTTACCACACTCGCAAAATTGCACACAGCCGACCATATAACAAACTCTGTATTTTGAGTGGAAATGTTAGGGGGTCGTCTTATACGCCGAGTCGTCTTATACGCCGGCAAATACGGTATATTTGGCAGTAATGTTCAGTTTGGGAGATTGAAGATAACTAGGAAATCGTCTTGAGTGTTTGCTTAAGGGGTGGCCAATTTGGACATGGTATTTCCATATATAGCCCTCGGCAACCATTGTAATGCTGAGTTAGTATATTTTGTTTTTTTCCCCCACAAGTCCATTTCCATTCTATATCTATTTGGCCCACCCCAAAACCTTGAATGGGTGGATTTTTTTTTTCTTTCAGATTATAACACTGTTGGAATTTGATGCATTTTTTTTTTAGATAAAACTCTTTAGTGAAATAAAACAAACACACAGTGAAAGGGGCAAATCTTATGTTTACAGCTCAATGTTTTTGTTTTTATGAATGCTACATTTTTATTTTGCAATAGCAAGCATTATTACGGTATAATTTATATATTATAAAATGCCCAATGATTTTGAGTGAGTTTATACAGTTGTGTAAGCATCACCTCACTCCTGTGTTAGACCACTCCCATCACTCCCAAAAGTTTTCTTGTTTTAGTCAATCCCTATTCCCACCCCAGACCCAATCACTGATCTGCTTTCTGTCAGCCCATGTTACCTCTCCAAGATAAAACTGGCTTGAACCCAAAATGCCCAGATAATAATTTTGGTTGTCTTCTTGTGGCTTTTTTTTCCTGCAGGAAGGTCCAGCAGAAGGGCCCTGTGTAAGGAGTTATCACTCCTTTTCTCAACAGTGAAGGAAATGAGGCTTCACAGACTTCACTAGTCAAAGAGAGATTGTCAAGGTCCTGCAGAGCACACCTCAGAAGCCCCTAAGTCAGTGAAGGACTTTGAGATATAAACTCAAGAAAATAGGATTTAATGCAAAAGTATGCTGTAGTTCAATTAACAATTTTTTTTAAGATTTTTTTTTTAATTGGGGAATTGGGGGGATGGGAACAGAGCTGGAGAATAGGGGGAAGGGGAACAGACAAGTTGCTGTCGTTTTGTTCTTCAG